TGTTACAAAGTTAGTTGACTAATTATTCTCTCAACACATTGACAATTACCACTTCACTATCACAATCAACTACCACAATCTTTCAAATCCAGGCAGTGCTTTGCTGCTAAAACACTATGTTCAGAGAGAACTGATACCGACTCCAAGGTCCAAGAATAAAGTGTAGCATGAATGTTGAAGCAGGCTTGAAGTAGAAACGGGACAAATGCTCATTTAGTGCTCTCCTCCCCTCTGAATATCTGGCAAAAGAAGTTATATTTCTTCTCGAAGTAATTTAGTCTTCCTGTATTTTGTCAAAAATTCGCTTATTTTACAAAAACTATATAAAAGATGACCTCAGTATTTCATTTCAAGGGGGCGGATTTTAATTAAATGTCATTTTTCTTTTTTCTTTGGGACAATGCCATTTAGTTCAGAAATTCATTTTATGATTTGACAAAACGAAATGACCCCTTTTTATATCTCATTGTTTGGCATTTTGCGTCAATTTCGACTAATAAGTCATTTTTTCACCTCTTTACGTAATTTTTAACGCATTTTTTCTGATTTTTATACAATTTAATATCATTTTAATGGTATTTGCTTTAAACAATATTTACGAGGCACAACAAATGTTCACCTGAGAAGCCTAATTGATTTCTTCGCTTAAATATATTGAAATGTCAGCCGTCGTACGTACTATATAATCAATGGTTCCTGTGACATTTATCGGTGCCATTGTCAGTTCGAATGATTTCGCGATGAATAAAGGCAGAGATTTTCTTTTGAAGAACAGTCCAGACAAAACGTTTTGCTACCCGAGTTCACTTGAACAAAAGGAAGAAGCCTCCATTAGATCAGTAACATATTCTACAGCTTGAGCTTCATCTAAAGTGGTTTTGATCACATTTTTACGTCATTTTTCTTTATTTTAGGGCATTTTTAAAGCATTAAGAGCATTTTATTAATCATTTTTGCAATGTTTTAGGTCATCTAAATCCGCTCTCTATTCATTATACTGTGTACCTTCTTGTATACTGCTTACGCACTATAGAGAAAATATAGTAATGCTGCTGGAAAAACAGCGATTTTTGAGCAGGAATACACCAATTTAGACATCTGATTGAGTAAAAATGGTTAAATCTTGATCCAAAAACAAGAGTGTAGTAAATTACTTCTTCTAACATTTTGTGTAGTCATAATCCACAACTTGTGGGTGCTTGGTACCGAATAGTTTACGCCAATCCCTCCGTCCGTCCGTCCCTCCGTCCATCCGTCCGTCCATCCGACCGTGCGTCCGTCCGTCCGCTTATCTGCCTGTCTATAAATAACTCCAGCGGCTAATCCGTAAGTCGATTTCTTCATGCTGAGGGATGCAATGCAGCCACAATTAGTTGACGAATGAATAATGTGTTCGATAGCACTTTCACGTGCGGCAGTGGTGCAGGAACAATAAATCAAGACGTACAGAGTTCATGATGCAGGGAAGAAGCTGAGCGACAATCGTCTGCATCATGAACGTCTGTACGTCCTGTTTCACAGGTCCTGCACAATTGCCACACTTTACTGTCACTCATGAAAGTTTGTTTAAACGTAAAGATTCATTTAAACGTTAGTTTAAATATAATAGACATCATTGATGTACAAAGAATAAAATGGTATGAACACATGCAAAGAACGTTGACCAAAAATTTTGTGAAAATGGCAAACAGATACCCAACGTAGAAGAGGAAGAATTCAATGGGAAGAAAGAGTAGAAGAGTCAATAGTAGAGAGGGGATTAAGTAATGAAGACTACAGAGATAGAGAGAGATGGAGGCTGGGGTGTGATTGATACCCCCAAGGGTGTAAAATGCTATATAGTAGTATACACCAAACTACAATTGTAAGAATTAGTAATAAGCCAACCGCCCACCATGCAAGCAGTAGTCCTTTGCCTTTGGAGTTAATGGAATTAAATAAGGATAATAATAATAATAATAATAATAATAATAATAATAATAATAATAATAATAATAATAATAATATGCGGTGCTAATTTCAATTATTTTTCTGCTCCCATCGTACAATCCTCTTACCTCTAAGGCTGCAGCGCGTTGCATCATGATAGACAATATGGCACAGCGTCATTATAGTGCAGATGTTTGACTAAGAACAGATAAGTTTACACTTGAAAAGGAATGAATTATGCTCATGGTACTTTCAAATGTTTCTTTGAATAGTTTATCCAAAAGGGAAGTGACGATAAACCGCACATGCCTTCCTCCATTTCCAATACTCATTATCAGAATAAAATCAGAATTCCCGGATGGGGATCATATTAGTTATTAATCGGATTATACATAAATGCATTCACCGAACCTTGATGGCATTTCTATTATAAATTTGTTGAATGCTAACTTACTCGTGTACTGCTCGTTTTAAGTCGAATTGTGTTAATGATAAACTAATGCGACCTGTGACAACTAGGTTTCCGTCTGCTAGGTGGAGTTGTTGCGTCAGATGTCAAGTAGCCGTTCGAAATTTAACTTACAATAGTTATTATTAGTCGTAGAAAAGTACTGCATGAAACTCGATGAATTGCGTATTGTTACTTCATGAAGTTTAAGATACTCGATTATTCCTCGCTCCTGTCGTAATATCCCTTCGCACTCATGAATTAATATCCTTCATTTTATCAGCGTTTCATGATGTACTATTAAACTTCAGTTCTTTGTGTGATGAGTTCAAAAGAAATTAAACTTCAGGATAGTTTTTAATCGTTGCTTTTATCATTTTTTTCAGCATCAGAGTTCTAGTTTGTTTTTAGGTAATGTTATTTTATGCCTCTTTCTCCAGAGTTGCAGTTGATAAAGTCTTCTGTTCTTTCTTACTAGTATACGTAAAATGTCACAGCATTGAGAAGCCTTTAAAAAATTCAGCTTTACAAGTTACGAGATATCTGAATTTCTATTTTTTTCAATGAAATAATTCCATATGTGTTTAAGATGTTTTTATCCTTTCTTCTGCTTCTTACCTAATATTGAATTATAATTAATTAAAAATCTGAACATGACTCAGTTTCAAGAAATATCTTACTCTCAATTTAATGTATCTAATAATTACAATTAATAGGTAATCATTCACATCAATCTCTCCCATCCTATGATCAGGCTTACAGTACATTTTTACTTAACGAGATACATCCGGTCTAGCTGCCTGTGTGAACGACGTTGTTTTGAAGGGGACCTACCATTCACGACAGTGCGTTGAAGACGAGATTTCATTTTCTCCCCACGGTTCAAAATAGTAACCGATGCAAAAAGTGTTAGCACTCAAAACTGTTTGCGAAACAAATTGATGTTAATACGAAATTGTGCTTTATTTTTTAAATAAAAAGCTATTTATCAGGAACAATTGAATAATTTTTGGTTAGAGAATTTTGGTCATATTTATTCATTAGGAATTTTTGAGGAAATAACATGAAAAAACAATGTGTGCCTCTTTTACCTCCATTTCCTTTTTGGTAAATGGGAGAGGAAGAATGTAAAGTTATGCAAGATAGAATGATAAAATAGTTACGTTGGGGTCAAATCAAAGGTATAATTTTGAAAAAAATTGAATTTGGTGCATTTGCTGTTGGTGTGTTTACTTGCCACGCCCTCTTTGGCGCTTATCACCTTCTGGTCCCAATTCATCAACTTCTAGCTCCAAGTTAAATCGCAGTACAAGAAACACTGCTAGTTTGCACTGCAAGAAACACTGCCCGCGGCGCCACACGACTTCAATTAGCGCCGAAGCCCTCCGAACAACCGCAACATCCGCATGGAACGTGATAGCGTCGCTGCAATTGGAACTGGAAGCAACAGCCTAACGGAGGCGCCTAGACCAGCTGAAAAAAAAGTTCACCGCTTTAATTACCACATTGCAGGCACTTACATTATTGCCTAGATTCTGGATTTAGTGTAGGCGAAGGTATATAAGAATGTTAAAAAAGAGATTAAAGTTGGGAGCACAGTCAATAGTACCGTTGTCGTAGACAACTGTTATTTGTGTACGTGCTTTGGTGATCTGTGAAAAGATGAACAGGAATATTGTTACTGACCATTCCAAATCTAAATGATTCTTCCCTGCTGGAGTATTTCGAAAATAAAAGATCCATAATTTTTGAAATCATAAAAAGCTGTAATTATTTACTTGAGGTGCTTTTGTTCGAGCCATCTTATATAGAGTAGTATCTGATGTTAGCTGAAATATGAAGTATTAAGATTATTTGTTCATTCTTACTCAAACATTATAGCAGTTGTCAAACAGTATATCTTGTTCTCTCCTTTCGTTAATAACGCACATATTGTATGATCTTCCAAAGCGTTCTCCCTTGTGTGAATAGCAAGTAAAACGCATATTGTAGTGTTTTTATTTTCGTTTTTAGTCACAAAACAACACAAACGTTTCCCTGTGTTCCTTCCTCCTTCGTCTCATAGCCCCAACTCCAACCCAGCTCCCAACAAAACCGTTATCGACCATTGCGTTATCGGCAGCAAATGCCATCGTAATTGCGCTCAAGTGAGTGAGAATGCGTATTTCGAGTTTCCCGCCGGGTAACCTATTTAGATGTAATGCCCGTGAGTGTAGACATTGCAAAGTCGCGAGATGCAGAACCGCCCCACACGTCGGCTGGGACGTGAAGTGTCCACCCCCGTCGCGTCCGTCGCCGCAAGGGTTGCGGCGCCCTCCCCGCGTCCTCCCCTGACCCGCGAGCCGTGTCCGGCGGCGATAAGATAGCGGTCGGGCGGCGGCGGCTGCGCGGGGCACGGGCTGCCCGCCCCCACGGGGCCTAGTCCAGAGGCGTCGCAGCGCCCGGGGCCCCTCTCTTAAGTCGTGATCGGCCGCCGCGACCCGCCAGTGCGAACGCGTCCCCAGCCAGCGTCCCCCAGCGTCGCCGCCGCCGCCCGCCACGGACCGTTGGAGCGCCGCCGCGTGCGCGCGCGCGTGTGTGTGTGTGCTTCGCGTGTGACGTGCCGGGACAGACCGCTGCCGCCATGCCTGCGTGCGCCGAAGAGAGCATGAGCGAAGTGTGGGCCAACCGGCAGCTGCGACGGGCCGGCAGCGTGCCCGGGGACATCCACAGCACGAGCCGTAGCAATGGGTCGCTGCCCTCGTCTCCGGTGTCCTCGTCTCCGCCCGGGGCGTCCTCGCCCACGCACGCCCCGCTCTCCTTCTCGCGCTCCAGCACACCGTCCGTGTCGCGGCGGGGCAGCGCCCACTTCGCCTCGCCCGGCCCCAGCCGCCCGGCCTCCCCCATGGTGCCCGTGCCGGACCCCGAGCGCAGCATCCTCGTCAAGATTATCGGCTGGTACCCGGCTCTGCTTCTGAGGTTCGCGCAGCACATCGTGTCCACCGCGCTGTACCTGCTGTGGAGCCAGCTGCTGCTGGCGGGGCCCACGCTGTGGCTCTCCATCTGGCTGTGGGTGTTTTGGAAGACGATTCAGCTGCCGCTGATCCTCGTCAAGTGGTTCCTCATGCTGCTGACGACGCCCGCGGCGGAGCGCGGCCGCAAGAAGCGCACGGTGCTCGTCAGCTGCGGGAGCACCATCCAGGCGCTGCACCTCGCGCGCAACTTCTACTCGGCCGGCGCGCGCGTCGTCGTCTGCGAAGTGGAGGGGCTTTTCGGGCTGGCGCGCTTCTCCACCGCCGTCTCCAAGTTCTACACCGTGCCGCGGCCGTCGGGGGAACGCTCGCAAGAGTACGTGCAAGCGCTGTGTGACATCGTCAGAAAAGAGAAGGCTTCTTACTACATCCCGGTCTCTGCCACCAACACGGCTTACTTCGACGCCTTAGCTAAACCGCACCTGGAGCAACTCAACTGTGTCGTCTTTTGCCCCGGAGTGAAAGAAATCTGGATTTTGGACGATATTCTCGAAGTGCTACGTCGCTGCCACGGAAACGGCATTGCTACCCCTCTCTTCTACCCCATCACATCCAAGGAAGACATCGCAAAATTGTACGATAGTGGACTCTTACGTACGGGCCGTTATTTCATGTCTAGTGTTGGAGCGTTGGGTTGTCGAGATCGGTTCAAGATCAACCTTCCTCCGTTCAGGCAGGAATTCCGCATGCCCTACGAGATAAACGAGCAGCGGCCGTGGGTGATCGTGCAGGACCTGCCCGGCGAGCACTTCCTCACTTGCACCACCGTCAAGGAATCGCACGTGGTGGCGAACGTGACGTGCCGGGTGGACCGCGAGAGCGGTGGCCTGGTGCCCGTGGAGGACGAGGACATCAACCAGTGGCTGCGCCAGTTCTTCAGCAAGCTGCGCGTGCTGCGGCAGGTGTCGGGCCACGTGAGCTTCCGCTTCGTGGTGTCGGAGGTGAGCCGCACGCTGGTGCCCGTGGGGTGCCGCGTGGGCGTGTCGCTGCCGTACGTGTGCCACACCAGCGTGCACCCGCGCCTCGTGTGGCGGCCGTGCCGGCACTTCAGCCGGCAGGCGTCGGGCCCGCTCGTGACGGACGCCGGCACCTACTGGATGCACGAGGCGGTGCTGAGCACCCTGCGCCGGCCCAGCGTGGCGGCCGTGCAGCGGCTCATCGGCACCGTGCTGGACAAGCGCGAGGCGCTCTTCGTCTTCTGGGACCCGTTGCCCTACTGCGCCTACTACCACCTGCAGCTGCCCTTCCGGAACGTGCTGGGCTTCGTGCAGGGCCACAACAGGCAGAACGGCCGCAACGGCTTCCACCGCACGATGGCGGCGCCGGCGCAGTGAGCCCCGGGGCCCGTGCCTCGCCAAAGGGACTCTAGGCGCCTTCTGGCGCTCCTTAGTTCTACTGCTTTAGTTTCTCGTGGAGGAACTCGCGGAGCAAGTGGGCCGTACCACTTCGGTTGGTAGTTCTGTATAGAACAAACTTTTAAGACTGGCGAACTTTTTGTACTATATTTTGTTAGAAAAGGTTTCTTGGGGTATGCCTCGAATGTAGTGTAGAAAAACAATATATGTATGAATTTAATAAGTTTGTTGAAATGTTTGTATTTATTTTGTTAGTGTGAAGGGTTTATTTAGTGTTGAAACGAGAAGTACAACAATATATTTTTATTACTGTGTTCAACTATATATTACAAGAGAGATACCTTTGTATTGCTCTCATAAAGGTGCATTCCATTGAAAATCATTATCATATGTCACCAGAGAACGGGCTTGTATATATAGATACCTATATCATGCTACTTAAAGCAATCTGTGATAATCTTCTAATTAAAGGTACTTCCAGTGTGTTAATAGAGAATTTAGTTCAATAAATGTATACTAGTAGTGTAACTTTTCATTTATAAATATATATGTAGTGACTTGACAAGACTTATCAGTGGCATTTGCAATGCATTCAGTAACATATCCACATTTTTCGTGTCATTGTACTTTTCTCATTCTCAATAAATCAGTGTAAATGAGACGGTGTGAATCGTGGAGTGCTTAATGAAAGGATACCCCTATTGGTTCCGCCAACAAACTTATGTATTTTGCACTGTACCTTGTATATATGCAATAAAATTCATCTATGAACCCTGTGCCTTTTCATTCCCCCTCAGATAATGGTTTGCTCAGTACGCAATAATGAGCTGATAACAGTATCCTGGTAAAATAAAAGGTCAGTTGAAAGGGTAAATCTGACACAATCTCACCATTCTTGAAAGAAAATTAAAAGCCTTTTATCTTATCAAATTTAATTATTCTCGAATGTCTTAGTATATAATTTTAAAACTTAATTCATTGAATTTATTTTCATAGTTTGGCATAAATTCTTCATTGATGAAATAAATCGTTGAGTAAAAAAATTAGTTGACTGAATTCCTTAAACAGTTTTGTTTGCGTAAACTAATCGATAATAGAGGCAAATTATTTCAGTCCTGATAACTAAGTAAATAAACAGACAAATACATTCTTAAAAAAATATCATTCTAGGAATTTTGTTCATTCAAAATTTCCCAAATTTAGTTGACATTGTAACAATAAGAAGTGTGGCAAATTCCAGAGGTAAGATTAGAAACAAAGAAATGTATGAGTAAAATAAGGCTGTACTCTGATTTGCTAAAAAGTTGTTTATAAATTCATAAATATTAACTAGCCTGCATAACTAGCTGGCGTCTCATCATTGTGCAAAGAACGAGTTATCTTGTAACTTCTATTGAAAAATTATATTGAATGAACTTTGGATGAAGTCACAAATAGTGCACATTTTCTTCCAATATGAATTATATGGCATTTCCATAAATACAATTCAACTTTGATTCTGATTAGTTGTAAGTCACCGTTAATAGAGTACTGATTTATAGATCCCAGATATTTATATAACAGCAGTGATGTAAAAAGTGTAAACATGCTTGTATGGAAGAAAGGATTTTGTTGTTATTTGCACATTCCAGAATAATTAAAAAACGACACATTTTTACAGCGTTTATTTTCTTTTATCTCCAGACACACTGACATACATATCGTAATACCCTAATGTAAAAAAACATGAGCTCAAAAAGAAAGGAACTAAAAAGGTATCTTATGTGGCTCTGAAAGCTTTCTTTTTCTTCACATGAGTCATGTGCCTGAAATGAGGAACATGGAACCGAGGGATGAACTGCATTTGATGTTGAAGAAGGGAGATGATAGTCCTTCAGTGGAATCATCACGTCGGAATCTTGGTTTTTGTTGGTTCCTGCAACAGAAAGAAAATTAGTCATATTATTTGAAATAATTACGTTAATGTAAGGATGGTGATACGACCTTACGTGATAGATATAATTCAATTCGAACAATTTTTATTAGTGTATAGGTAATTTCTAAAGATGATATCATGCTCTCAAGGTGTACATAAAAATAGCTTTTGAATATCATTATTTGCGTCAACGCAATTATTTAAAGTTATTTTTTTATTAGTAATGCTGAATGCAGTTTGTTATTTTATCACATATGAACAGACGTTGACAACTGAATATGCCTGTATTTTCGTGTGCGTTAATTTTGAATTTCCTGCATGGACACGCACGCACGCACGCACGCACGCACACACACACACATTTATTATGTGTGTGTGTGTGTGTGTGTTATAATTATGTATTCTCTAGGTATGTACTTCTCCACACATAATAATTGTTTGATTTTCATATACCACACTCGGTTTTGGAAAAGACTAATAAAAATACTTATACTTTTATTTTTTTTACTTTGAAATTAGTGTGTTTTTATTTAACGTCAAAAAGTAAAACTGTTTGTCGTACGTTGGTGCGAAGTGCATTTTGTGTCCGTATCCTAACTCGGAGTTGAATTAAGACACAGATTGAAACGAGCGTCTTAGCAACAACTGATAATAAAATAATCACTTCCGAGTGATAAAAACTATTTCCGAAGACTAATCAGCTACAGATTTTCTCTAGTAACTCCCATTATGTTCCTCGTGAAAGAATCGACTTACTGCCAGAACCTGATGTACAATACTTCTTACAGTAACATTTTACACTTTTAGATGTATATAGTTCAAATTGTACCTAATACAGTAAATATCACTTTCAAAGGGATAGTTCAATTTTTCTTCAGTTTCAAACTGCATTGAAACACATAAGGCAGAAAAAATGTTATTTGGCCTATAGTATAGTGCGCAACGTATTCAATTTTATACGTAGATTGCGAATATAGCAATAACCACGTCATAATACTTCACAGTTTTTAATTATACCCTTACCTTCTTTATATCGTATCTTACAGTATTTTTCTATTAAGTGCACGTACATTTAAATTGCATATGAACGATATGTAGACTCAATATGCATAAAAATCTATTTAAAAAATAAGATATTTGTTCAGTTTATCTATGCCACTTTCATGCCATTTCCACTATGCTAATATCAACAAAATTACCCTTTCGTGGGTGATTTTACTTTCTGCATTCGAAGATTGTCACCTACATCCTCGCGATAACTTCTGTTACGTTTTAGAAGATTTACGTCAAACTTCAAAGGAAAAAAATAAATGAAATTACAAAACTTGCGTATTCTTTATACTTAGGCTGTTGTGTTTGTGATCAGGAAAAACCATGAGCGGCTCACCAATGTAGTGACACCTGTACAACGAACCTTAGGTTGTGGTTATATGAGAAACACAAATAATTGTCATTCACTCTACCAATGTTGTGTAGAATACCAACAAACCATATTAATGTCTGGATATTATTGCACGACTATGCGTATTCAATTTTCAATTTGTTCTTACCTCTTTGAAGTAAAATTGTAAAGTTTTGTAGGAATATAACTAGAGTGACAATGCGGAAACTAGTATAGGATTTTGTTTATTTAAAATACTAAATATGTTCATATCTTTTGAACCTTGCATGATAGAAACTTTTTATAATGATTTTCAAAATCAGCGTGATCGTGCCCTTGAAATCACATACTTTCATCCTAGAGGTATGATTTTATTTTTGTTCCGTAATGTTATTTTCAAAATTTTATAGAAAGAAGTTTCGGAAACTAAAATAGCGAGGAAACATTTTGGAGAATATCTTTATGTTGAATTTTGTTCCTTGAAACCAAAAATGAGATTAATCGCAATTCCCGAAAACTATAGGTTGAAGGCTTAATTTTGCCAGATAGTTCACTTCTTTATCATTTTGTTTTAAATCATTATTCTCTACAATATTAGTAGTTGATGTATTCGCATTTTTTTACTGTATTTCTGTTTACTGTATTATTTTTGTTTTGATATTTGAGTTCAAAAGATCTTGTTTAATGATTGTAGTCTGCCTTATGATTTTTCTTAAGAACGATTCGTAGTTTTGGAAGTAGGTGAGAATCATGAGCGATGTTATGATTCTTGGAAATGAAAAAAAAATTTCATTTGGTTTTACCTGAGGTTTTAATTCTTTTTGTCATCTAATTATTGCTTTTTCACGAAATGTTTAATTTTTGTTTTTTTTAAAGAAAGGACTTATGAAAGTGAAATCAAAGTGTCGTAAAAACTGAATGATATGTTATTTTTATCAGCAGAATTGTAAACCGCGTTCCATGATTCCTGCAGCAAGTAGCCTATGAATAAATTTATTTCTCTTTAATAAACAATCATCACTTACATGTATTATTTAAAGTGTCATTCGTGGCAATTTTGTAATTAGTTGTGGTTTTGTTAATTATGACTTCAACAATCGCGTTCCTTGAGTTAGGTGTGGCCTGTGTAGATACACTTATTGTAATATCTAAACTTTAAAAAATTTAAGTTGAGAAACTGGTCTTTCTAACAAGATTAGGCCAAAAATCAACGTTAAAAATCAATGTTATAATATTTGCATTCAATGTATTCAAATAAGTGATTGTTGACTTTATTTAGAGATGAATTAAGATTTTCTAAGAATATGATGCAATCACTCACTTTGTTTGAGTCCTATACATGCAAAGTAAGAAACGTTTGAGCATTGGAAGATGTACAATAGATATTTCTAAAACATTTTCGAATGAATTCACATTTAATTCCGTCAATGAGATAGAACCGTTATAATTTCTATTAAAGGTCTTTCATATTTAGGAAATTCAGTTGATTCCCTTTCACTACAATAATTCTATGCAAGATAAAAGTTTGGAATTCGTGAAATTGTAAGTTCACTATAAAATGCACCAATGTTCTGCAAGGCAAAGAACATTATTCCGTTGCAATCGCTCTGTAGAGGAGACTTGATAAATTCAGTGATATTTGAAATAAATTGACTCCATGTGAATCTTTTGCAAGTATCTACGCGGTTGTTTTGTTCTGCAGAATACGACTGTAGTTGCTATAGATTTACTGCATGTTGACCCCAAGAACGTGGTCTAAGGTAGTAACGTGTTCCTGGAGTGACAGGTTGGGAAGAAATCGTCACATCATGCGTTGAGGAATTGCTACAGGGAGTGGGGAAACGGGAGTAAGCTTAGCGGAGGCGGAAAGGGAGTTCGAAATAGGGGCTGTGGATGGATAAAGAAGGTGAAATAGACGAGCGTTCGGCAGTTCACTACTGAATGTGTTTTTACCATGATTCATACGCAGTCCATGCCGGGTGGAAAGACCTAAAAAATAGAATACGTGAAAGAAGGATATACTATAAACATTTATTTCAATCGTCAAAAGAAATGTTAACCTCTATTGAAATATTTGAACGTATACATTAAACAACAGGTTAGTTTATTAAATAAATAATTAATACAGATTAATTTTGGTTTAAGTTATATTGTCGGATACGAAAGATAAAATTTTTACTTGACTTTATGACGTTTTGATTTTATTTAATGACATAAAATAGAAATTTGTACACATATCATTGAAATATAGATATGGTATATATTTGCGGGAGATTAAATAGTCCTTCTAAACAAGAAATAAGAGGTTTACCTTACAGATACAATTTTTCTAAACCAATAAAGACTTTCTTCACATAAACACTGTATTGAAGAATTTTAGTAACGTGACAATTTAAATCGGTACTTAAAGTAACTAGTACAAAATTGCTTAGGATGAAAAAACTAAAAGAATTTATATCATGCTTGTTGCAAAATTTATAAGACAAGAAACCCATTTTACGATTACGAAATTTCCGATATTAGTAGATGCAAACAATTATTTGCATATTTGCATTGAGGAAACTTTGAAACACATTAGAAGGATATCATTGTAAATGAAAAGTAGATTTTAACTCAAACATAACACGTATTTTTAATGATTGGTCTCAAAAGGCAAGGGCACACAACCCAAAGTAAAAATTCATTACACTATTTGAAGAGTCAGCCTGAACTGTGATGTTGGCTGCCGGCAGCGTGGCGAACCACAATTTTGAGTTAGTTGTAAGGCCAAATCGCTGCAAGCGCATAGCAATAGGTCCGCAGCTGCAGCTCGAATGAACGCCGTAAGTGGAGAGCCTCAAGATCCAAATCACAGAAATCAGAGAACCCGGACAGCTCGCGGTTGGTTTTTCTTAGTATTGGTGTGAGTAATAGTTCTCGTGTCAAAAAATATAAGATCTGGTCGTCATCCCAGTTTTGAATTGCGTGAGCTCAAGAATGATGAGTAACTTACAAATTCACAGGAGGTCGAATTGACGAACGATTGAGTTTCGTTTGGCTAGAATCATTGGGAATCTGATAATATTAAACGAATCTCTGAAACTGCTACCAATTTGATACGGATTCCAAAAGTTAAATAAGTTAATAAAACAAAAGATTTTTAAATTCTTACACATAAGTAATTTTTATGAATGTATTCCTAATTCTGCGGAAAGCGTTTGGTCATGGCTACGCAATAAACAAATTTACTGACAGACAAGGTACAGTTAAAACTGGACCTAGCTATTCTCGGTAAATTAGAAAATGGAAATAGGAGTGTGGAGTGATATTTTGTTAAGTGCCACACATTTCCGAGATATGTGATAACATTTATGAGCATCGTTTTATTTTGTGGGAGAGGAATAAAGTAGAGCATAGGGGCTACTGCACCATAGGGTTAAACTTCACGAACGAATCCCGTCGGTTCCTGATTGTCAATGCGACATGGGATTGTGGTTCATCGTATTTTGAGCGCCTGTACACGTAAAACTGTCCAGGAAAGAGCTTTAATAAATCTCCTGTGATGAGACCAGTCATTTCGTTAATTATTTTGTTTCCGAACAATTATTACTTACAATTACAACTTTTTTCTATCCGTTTAGCACAAGACTCGTCATCTTGGCTCGTTGGAGACGCTGATACGGGCTGTTCGGATAAAACTGTTCCGTATCCCGAACGTGCCCGGCGACCAAGAGACTTACCGTCCCATATCATCTCGACGGCGAGCAGCAGCGCGCGGCCGCAGAGCGCTGCGGCGTGCGCCACGCGGCGGAGCATGGCGGCGCGGGGCGGCGGCGGCGGCGGCTGGCGCGAGTCCTCGGGCTGCGCAGAGTGGCGCGGAGCGCAGCCGGCCCCTGCGGCGGCGGCGGCGGCCACGTGGGCGGCGGCTGCTCCTGGGCGAAGGGCGAAGTGCACCGGGGCGCGCGCCAAGCGAGGCCGACGCGCCGGGACTCCGGTTGCGGAAGGGCTCCTTCAGGTCGACGCGACCGGCGCCCCCTGGGCGACGTCGTTGACCGCTGGCTCACAAGCGGGGGAGGGAGTTACTCGATCGTTGGAGAAGAGAGAGGATTTGATGACTCTATAGAAGAACGAGCCGACCGGCATTAAGAGGCATACAACGAACGTCCAAATGGAATAAAAGGTGTACAGCATCATTCCAAACTTGACGATCATATAGCAGGCGAACAGGGACATCACAACGGGGATGATTTGCTTGATAGGTATTAAGAAGATGAGAGGAACAAGAAAAAATAGAAAAACCATTGTTAACATGTTTATGTTACAGCTATCCCCAAGAAATCTGGAAACCCGTGAGAATTAGTCGTACGGTTCGGAACTTTGCGTTCACACGTGCAGCCCGTGGCGAAAATGGTCCGCTGCTTGAGTCGCTGCCAACGCGGGAATCCCCGAAAGGGCGAAAGGGAGCAGCTGCCGGCTCGTGTCGTTACGACTTATTATTCCTGCGTGTCTTATTGATCCGCTGTGGGGCTGTTTTATCGATATCACTGTTGGAGAGCCCGCCGCCACCGCCACCGCCACCGCCACCGCCACCGCCGGCGCCTAGGCGCAAGCAGCGCGGCAGCCCGGTCGACGGCGCCCGCCGCACGGCTCCGCCGGTCACCGCGGAAACCCCAACAGCTCCCTCCGCGCGTTTGTTGCACGCGCTCCGCCATCCAGTGCCATAGAAAGTGGCTTCGATTGCAGATGGAGCGTTCCTCTCGGAATTCAACCTCAGTCACACTTTGAGTGATCCACGTCGTGTTTGTTCTCAATTTCCCATCAAAATCATTTAGATCTTTGTAATTTTGCTATAGCAAACAAAGTTTGTAATTCAATTCACTATTTAATTTTTTAAACTATTTTTCCATACTTAACGAGCTTAACAAAATTCAAAGGCAGATTAAATCTCAAGTACTCTTAAGATGTAGTTAAATGTTGTAAAATATTAACACTTTTGTAAGACAAAAAATTCGAATAATAGAAATTGCATTTAAAAACGGAATGAGTAAAATATGAAAATGTTCTATGAAACGTGTGACACACAATATTTTACATTATAGTAAATTTTTCTAAATTATGAAAATATTAGATATTGCTTCTAGAAAAAATAGTGCACAGTACGCTAATTTCTAGCAGATTTTTGCCCATTCATTTGCTTCGCATTTTTATCAGGAAAAAATAAAGAAATATAAAGAATGAATTCGATTTGAAGAGAAAACAGTCACAAAAGTTTGACAATTCAAAAATGTGTGCATAAATTCCTTATACATTAATTTGAATTTTTTATTAGTACTCAAAACAATACTAATGAAATAACTAAGTTTACTATAAAACTAGTTTTTTTCCTTATTAATATTCAAAACGCAAGATTTGCCCTCATTAAACGACACGCGGGAACTGAAATTTCCCTTGCATCTACTTCGGCTGCGCAGCCAGTGGATGTAGATGCATTTCACTCTATTTTGTTTCATTTTGCGATCTTTCTGGTAATGTCAGGAGAGTTTTTTTATTAATTGTAAACTATGTAAATTTAATTCGGCAAGGGTGCAAAAAATATTGTATTCACTTTCGAAACGAAGAATCCGATCGTTCAATGTTGTCAACCCCGAACAAGTTTCTTTTCACGGCATTAATTCATTAAATTCGTTTCTTGGTAGGATTAATACTTCGGGTAGTAATACGCTAATTAATTGAGAATTCTGGAAGGAAAAATTCTGCCAAACATAAACTCGATAGCTTTTTCTTGTAATGGTCCCTGAAAACGGTGAATTCTGAGAAAAAATAGTAAATAATTGCTGAATAGGGCTATATTAAATTTTTCCTATTAAAAATTGATCTGTGATCGGTAGTTTGACGTATTTCTGATATGTTAAGAGCGAACATGTAGGTTTAATATTACAAGAAACGAGCCATTATACCTTGTTACGATTTCCTCTTCTATAATGAAATAATTAACACTAGCTGGACACGAACGAACAATCCGAATTTTGTAATTTTTTTAGTTTCATTTTGAATCTGAACTTCAAGATCTGAACTGTACTATACCCTAAAGCATTCTAGTCGTCATGTCTGACCTATTATCGCGTCAATTTAATGTCACATAATTTCTCGTTTCTGCTGTTTTTTTACCACTCTTCTGTGCAGGTGAAATCACCAAAGAGGTATATTGCAATTAGGTCTTCGCTCCTCCCAATCCTCGCACGCTTCCCAACGTGCTCCCTGGTATATTCTCTTCTTGTGCTTGTTCTCGTGCATTGCTGTTCCCTCGCATGTACACCACATGCTTTCAGCCCTTACTCAGCTTGTACCTCCGGATTTTCCTCTTATTATCCCCTACTTGTTTCTTCTTCCTCACAGGTTTTCTTATGTGCCTCCAAATGTTTCCTAACATTCCACCAAATATTCCCCAAATGTTCCCCAAATATTCCCTTAAGTCTCCCTCATCTTCCCCATATTTTCACCGTTATATGTTTAGCGCATGTTCTGGCGCCTGTTAATGTGGATACTGAAGCAAAATTTTAAATGAAGTTGTTATTTTATTTCGAAATGCTTCTATAAACGTTACGGTGATGCATAGTGCAATACTTTCCCCTTCGGATGAAACGGAAGTTTTGAATAGTTACAGTGACTACCAGATGCGCGAACAACCTACAAATGTAATAGAAGATCCGCAAAGTTTTCTCAAAACTATGGCTACTAAACTACCAAAAATATAAGGTTTTAAATCATTATTTTAAGAAAATAGCTTCTCACTGAAACCAACTTTCTGCGTTACTGGCAATCTTTTCCGAAGTGACGGAACCATAAAGAATGTAATAGAATATCCAAGAAGATATCATTTTATAAAAAATGGAATTGAAAATACAACTTGTAGTTCTGAAAGGACACCTGAAAACCTGATTTTAAGGTTGTGGGGCGCATCGTCTCCAAGTTTTTCACAATGGTAAAACTTTGTTGCGTTGTCAATTGTTTCGTGGGTTGCATGTACCCCTTAAAATTCAAATATGCCATCGTCAGCGAACCTTGTTTTTCGTCTTCAATCTGTTTGATGCCTCTTTTGGAACCCCTTATTTTGTAGTAATACCCTTGCGTAGTTGTGTGTCTATGGCTTCGCACAAAAGGGAGTAATCAAACAACTTTCCTTAGCGTGTTATTGTAAAGGGAGGATAGTATTTGAGATTTGAATGTTTTCATGAGGTTGATATCGCTGGACTACATTTGAGCAGCACATTTGGATACAAAATTATATCTATTGTTGTTTAAATATCTAATGTGCTCTGACAATAAATTCATTTGGCGAGACCATGCTCCAACTTCATGGAAAATGTAACCAGAGAATCCACCAGGTAATTGAAACAAGAAGCGGACGATAGTTTTTCACGAATGTAACGCAATATTTGTTCACTTTTAATTAAAGGTATGCCTTCCTGGACAGTAAACTCGTGGAAGTGGTGCTAATGAAATACATACAGGAATAATTGTTATTTTTTCATCCAGAGGTTCAATAGTGCATATCACTATCAAAATTACTGCGTCTAACCTTCGGCTCAAATAGCGAATAACAACTTATGAAATAAAATGTTTCGTAATGATCGTACTTGTTCAGTAATTAACGTTCTTCTCTTCCTCCGTTGATCGAAGTCAATTAAAATGTTGAGCGATTCGTCTGGAAACGATCTTGCATCACCCCAACAATAACGTAGCTCCAATGAGAAATGGATTCCGTCGCCTCCGGGGTTAATGAGGCCTTCAGGGCGGACGTGACCCGGCGAGCGTCTAGTAGGCCGCGTCCGGGTCCCGTGACCGGTCGCCTCAGGCAGCGTCGATCACGCGCCGTCCTCGCAACCTCCCTGCTCTTCCCCCGTACGCCGCCCAGATACACGGGCCAAAGGCGACGCCGCACATCAACGTCCCCAGTTCAGACCCCCTCCCTCCCTCCCTCCCCGATTGCCATCTCGAGAGTCGCCAGCGTAATAATAGTTTTTCACGAGATCGAAAGGCTTGCGATTGGCCATCGGACCGCAACAAATATCGCGATTTTTTTAGTCTCGAGGGTGCAGGTCGGCTGTCGCGCCCGCCACGGCCGCACGCCAAGACGAAAGTTGCGGATAGAAATAACAGGCGGGTCAGCCGGGCGACGCGGAAGCAGAACGAGGGGGCGCAGGGCGCGGGGCACGCGAACGGGTCCGGCGCGCGGGACGGTCCCGGCGGCGTTTCCGCGGGCCTGCGGGCTCTTGCTGGCGTTGCGCCTTCCTCCCACCACCCCGGCGAGCATTCCGCCGCCCGGTGCGGCACGCGCTCGCGCCGTCCCGGCCCTGCCTGGCACCTAGTCGATACGCCCGCCCTCGCCCCCCGGCCCTCCGCCCGGGCCCTCGCCCCGCCCGCGCCCTTCGCCCGCGAGGGCCCCGCTTCCGCAGCGCCCGATCACGAACGGCGACGCGCGTTCCTGGAAGTGCGAGCGGCACAATCGCCAAGGTGCTGTTTACTTAAATCGCGCACTAATTGTAATCAATTTCGATTCCCCGAACGATACTAGAATAATTTACAGTTGAGACCTTTCTGAATCTAACTCTAAAATTGTCAATTTGTGTTACACTCATGTATTTATAATCACTAACTATGCCTCAGCACTGCAAATATAAAGTATAGTTGCCTGTTCTTCGAAGATCTCCCATAAACGGAGGTTTATCGAAACATTTTTTAACGTGGCCTTGTGAAACACAGAATTTGAACATTCAAATGATACGGAGGAAATGTAACAATTTACGTACTAAGTATTTCAAAGTTTTCACATATCTCAATAATATAATTTGGTATTTAAAGGAGCATGGAATAGCAAAGTCCAATGGAATTCGGGGCAGGTCAGATAGGTATTCCTTGAATATTTCCTAATTTTAATGTGCCACTCCCAAAGTTTAGAGAAAATGTTCTTTGGCATGATATATTATTTTTGAAAATGCTTTATTTCATTTATTATAAATTAATTAATGTTACTATTCACATGATAATGTATACGTTTTGGAGGTTTGTGCAAGCATTGTGCAAGGCAGCTAGAATAACACCCTCATCATAAAAAATTACAAT